TATATATATATATAAATAAAATTTTACAGACAAAATGTGTTACAGTTGTAAAAGAAAATAAATAAGAGATAATAGCATTACATACAACTACAGAAAAGAACAGAGCACTGATACATCTTAAACAAGTTATAAATATGTTTGCTAATGTTTGTTTCAGTGTTGTATAACTATTAAAGGAAATAAAGTATCTGTGTTGGACATCAGTTAAATCATCATTTACCTGATTAAAAAAATAAATACAAATATTTATTTATTTTGTTAAGTGTGAGCATGAGTGAAAGTAATTTAAGCATAGTACAGAGACATCCAAAAGAAATCACGTTCTTTGAGCTTGTACAGTTTTTGTCATTTTACAAAAAAACGTCAGTATATTGAGATTTTAATGGAAAGACCAACCCACAGAGGCAGACAATAGTCAAGTCAGAGGAAAAAATATTTATGCTTTTAAAAAGTTTTGACACATCCTCTGATAATCCTAAAAAATCTGTTATAGCCAGGTGGTTGAGTATTTTCATAATTTGTAAACAGTGCAGGTGTGTTTAAATGAATCTTAGTCAAACTGCAGCTGCTCTGTGAAAACATGGAAACAAACGGCATCGCGAAGGCAAAGGAAGGAACACATTTATCTGAAGGAGCAGAGAGTGTGTAAATTTAACAAGACCTGATCATCAAGGACACAAGAAGCAGGGAAGAGGCAAATGGTAACTTGGGAGGAGCTGCAGGGATCCACTGCTCAGATATGAGACCTTTTGACAGGACAAACAGTAATTCTCTAATCTGGCCTTTATGTAAGAAGGAAGCTACTAATTAAAAAAACAACAACAACAACAAAAAAACAATCTACCTTGCAGTTACTACAAGTCATGTGGAGGATACAGTAAACATGTAAAAGATCTGATGAGATCAAAACTGATCATTCAGTCCTATGTGTAAAATACTATCTGTGGCAGAAAACTAACACTGCTATTCCTCTGGAACACACTGTCCCTATGACGAAGTATGATGCCGGTAGTGTAATGCTGTGGTAAGGCTAATCTACAGCAGGGACAAGACAGCTGATCAGTAAATCCAGGGGAATCTTCCAAAAAAATCTGGTAGAGTCTGCAAAAGGGGCTACAGATTTTCAGCTGTTGATATCAGCTTTACATATTGGACTTCATGTCGACATGTTAAAAAATGACTAACATCAGCTGATACTGATGTCCATATTGTGCGTCCCTAAGCTTCACTATTATGTGCTGCTTTGTTTTGGTCTGTCCCAACTGCTCATCCCAATGAAATACATTCACGTTTCGGGTTGTAATCTGACAAAAACTGAAAAGGATCAAGAGGAAGAAATAGTTGTTGAGGGAAAAACTTCCTGCAATTCCATGAAAATATGATCGCTGATGTATTTTAGACAGACATTTTAAATTGTTTTCCACTTGATCAGAGGAGAAATTAAAGTGACATTTAAGCTGACAGGCCGTTTGCTCGCCGTCAGGCCACCTACGCCGAGGAAACATGTTTGTTCTCCGTCTTGTGAAGTGCTGAGATCAGAGCCAGAAGCCTTTTCCTGATTCCTGATAACGATCCCTGTGAAGTCGTCTGTGAGCGCCAGGATCAAACAGCTTAAATGTTACCCCTGTACTTTATCTGTTGGTGTAAAATCAGTGTCACAAAGACCCGACACAACAGTTCGTGTTTGCTGCCCTGCTAAACATCAGGGCATAAACTAAATGGGATAAGTAATTTCAGTGCTTCATGGGCCTGGTTTTAAACCAAATGTTGTTTTTTTTCCCACATTACTGCATAATAACATATTAAGTTAATTTTAAGCATTAAGACATAAGAATTAGTGAGAAGTGCACAAACTTGCATCTCAGTTGGACGTATTCAACATGGACGTTGGTTTGATTAATGTGGAAATGCAACTTCTCTTGTTGGTGCAAGAGGATGATGTGCAGGAACAAAAAGTAAAAACGTTTTAGAAATATCTCAGTGACAGATGGCCTTGAAGAAATGCTGGGATATTTTAGTCCAAGCATCAGCCCCTACAGCTTCTGTCCTGACCACGAATACAGATGTAGTTTCTGTCTCTGCACAGAAAAACATTAACGCCGGGTTTTCCTTCGTTTCTTCAAAGAACCCCGACTGCGGCTGCGACTGCGAGACCCAAAGATGGAGTTCCACGATGAGCTCCGGCTGTAGCTCCTGTAGGAAGAGTAGCTGCGACTGCGACTGCGACTGCGGCTGCGGCTGCGACTGCAACTGTGGCTGCGACTGCGGCTCACGCTGTGGATCGGACTGCGACTGCGGCTTCGCGTGAAGAGGCTGCTCCACGACGACACGCTGGTGGAGCGGCTGCTGGAGGAAGGGCTGGGTCTGAAGTAAGGGATGGGTCGCTTCCTGGCACTGTGGAGATTTGGGAAACAAACGGAGTAGCAAAAAATATAGTTGCACATTTATCAGCACAATAAATCAGTGAAAAAATATATTTTATGTTGCAGTTTTTCTTTTGTAAATCTGGATTTTTTTTGTAGAGTTTCTTTTAGATGGCATGGGGAGAAGAAGACATCTTCAACAGCAGTTACTTGTGATATTGTTCTGTATGACTACACCATTCATTCATTCATTCATTCATTCATTCATTCATTCATTCATTCATTCATTCATTCATTCATGGCATTGTGGATGAATGTTGGCCCACTCTTGTTTACACAGTCAAACCATTGAAGTTTGGAGAAACTGGTTCATGCATTTCCTCCTTAAAGAACCTGCAGGACTTTAATTGGAACATTAGAGCACTTAATACCTTTTTAAATAATTTGTTTATAGATTTGAGATGATTGTTGCTCCGTAACATTTAGCTCTCAAATACTTTTGCAAACAGAAGAGTTCATGCTGGCCTGCAGTGACCCAGGTCTCTTGTTTGTCCCACACACAGTGCTGAACATCATATAACAACCTGTTCTGCATCAGTAACATATTGCTCAAGTCTAGTCATTAATTCAGAGGCAACAGTGTAAACATTGAGTTATATCGTCATAGCTCATTTGGCAAAAGATTTTTCCTGGTATCCCTGCCAAGGAAGCCATACTTGTTTGCTCTTTAACTTTGCTGTAATGAATTTTGCCATTTAACGTGTATAATTGAGGTTGAGCGTGTCTGCGCTCTTAACAAGTCATGTACTTCATATTAAGGCCTTAAAATGTCTTAAATTAATACAATAAAGTGTAAGTAGGCAGTAAATACATTAATCACAGGTCTTATATTTTGTTTTGGCAAGAATATTTAATCTTGCTAATGTAATTTGTTCTTGGTCATTTTGGTCAGGCAAAGGTTTGAGTCGTGCGCAGACATCTTTATAGCGCTCTGTGACTCGAGGTGGTTGAGACTACCGCTAACTTAATGCTAACACAGTCTTGACAGTTTCTAGCTAGCTGGTGTTTTTGCATCTATCATGGGTAAGTGTGAATTTATCACCAGTTAGCTGGACGGTATTTGTTTTTGCCGCTGGCTTTGTTTTCACCACTGTAGATGAAAGTGAAGTTAGAAGCACAAAGCCACTGCCAAGAGCCACAAACAAACCTCAGAAATTTCTGTTTTTGTTATGCTTGGTTGTATTACAGCAGGATCCCCCAACCATCCCTTGTATTGTATTTATATTTTATTTTTAAATTTCATTTAAGGTGGCATTAAAAATAACACCTTGAGTCAGAGATTGGGCTATTTTTTTTTTTTTTTACAGTTTCTTTGACTATTGCACAAGTTAACCTCGGGGGTGATTTTATATTTATTCATTTCCCATTTTTGGAATTGTCTGCAGTGTAGAATAACGGAACTAAAAATTATTGCCTTTAAATCAATCAGAAATTGACTTAGAAACCTTCCCAGACTGCTTTGTCTTAAGGCCTTACCAATCCATTAAGGCAACCCTGTATACAACAAGGAAGCAAACTGCAAAACCTTCTGCTTTTTTAGTGGTTGTCATGGTTACTGGTAATCAGTTAATAAAAGTGTATATGGTCAGCATCATGTGGCAGCTCCTGTTTCTGCTTAAGCTTAAGCAATAAGAGTGTCTTCAGTTTTTTTTCCTATAATTCTTTTGCCAGCAGTCATTTTCTTTTTCCCTTTACTAAATGGTGATTGATGACTGACGTAGATGGAATGCTCTGCTGTATCGTTAAGTTTTAATAATACAGTGAAATATTTTGTTTGTCCTGTACTTGTGCTATATTTTTTCCTAAACGAAGTTTAAGTGCACAAAAATATAAAGCGGCCATATCCAATAGTAAAACTTTGTTAATTTTTAAAACATACTTTGGATTCAGGATATTTTATCTTTGTGTCTTTTATTGTATGTGACTCATAAGACATTTCCACAAACAAAAATTTAGATTTCCTTTTTCCTCAACATCTGTTTTGTTGACCTCTTTAGGGACTGAAAGCCAACTTATCTCTTATCTGGATATGAATAATTTTAAGTTTGCATAAACACGTAATGTGTCCATCTAAACTGTTAAAACTAAGAGATTTTTTTGGCAATGAAAGTGTGCAGGAATAAAGGACCAGGGCAGACTAAAATCAGCTTTACCTTGTGATGCGGCGTGCTTCCAGATGGCTTGGGGAGTCTCTTCTCCTCTTCCTCATAGGAGAGTAGGACTTGCGTCTTCGTCTCTTTCCACTAACCTTATGCATGTGCTTCAGATTTGTCTCTCTGGAACTGGACTGCCGCTTTCTGTCTCGTAGTCTGGGGAACCAGATTCAACAGTGTGAACTTTTAATTACCCAAAAATGTCAGCGTAGGTTTATTTCTGTGCAGCGCTTAAAAAGAGACATTAGCAGCTGTAGACATTTAGCAAAACTCACCTATCAGCACTGTATTTGGAGTAGCTTCCTCTGGAGCTCAGGCTGACCAAGCTGCCTCTTCGCTTCACATCTGATGAGTTGCTCAGGGAACGAGAGTACGAGCTGCAGCAAGAGAGGTGAGCAAATACTGAACGTACTATCTCTGGTAGAACCCTGCTGGACAGCGTGTAATTGCGAAATTAGATAAAGTACCTGCAAGAAGACAGCGAAGGGCTTCGAGAATAGCGTCCAGAGTACCTGGAAGTCCCTGAAGATCTGCTCCTACTGGTGGAGGAGGACAGCGTTTTCCGCCGCTTTCTAGACGACCTGCTCCTCCGCTGCGCACATCGGGCTGCCTTCGTGCATCTCACGACTTCTTCCTCACACCGCAAGGTTATCTGCCCACTGCAAAGAAAACATAAAGACATTTTAGGGGTTGGGAGTGACCAATCGTTAAAATTAGGATTTAAAATTAGGTTCTATTAATAGGTTGTAATAGGTTCTCTTACCTGACCTTGATTTCTACCCCCAGCAAACAACTAGTCTAGAGAGTTGTCATAACTTTTTTATATGACTATTTTATGAGTTTTTGAGCAAAGGTCATGCTTGCGTTAGAGGTGTATTTACAAAGAAAACCATGATTATTTACACAGAAAGTGGAGTTTGGAGAACACCAATGATCTTTCTGTGTAAACCACGAGAGAACAAAACATGTAGAGTGTTTTCAGTATCTTTTATATGAAGAAGGTAAATAAAGCAGTGGTATTTTAGCTGCTATCTTTTTGATTTTCATGTCACATTACTTTTCTAACACTCAGTTACTCTTACTTGTGCCATTCTCAGTGTTTCAGACTGGAAGATAATTAATGACAAACAACCTCTTACCTTTACCTCCCATGTAAATAATGATTGGTCTCATTAAAAATAATTGCACAATGCAAAAATAACCATAGTTTAAAGGCTAATAAAATACTGTTTGCAAAAAGCAAATGTGATATTTTTAGGACTGACTTTAGCATTAGCCAATTACCAATTACCAAGAAGTACCAATTAATCTGGATTAGCACTGAATGTGGACCCAAAGAGAGCCATTTAGTGCCTGATTGCCTTTTAATAGAACATTGCTTCAAAAAAAGGTGAGCTATCTTACTTATCTGGTAAGTGCTAGTAAAGTAACCAGATATAGAAAAGGTCAGAAACACACAATAGGTTCCAAAAATACGCCATAAGTTCTACAAAGTATGCTATGACTCCCTGGCAAGTCCCTGGTAAATTTTAAGAAAGCAACCAGCAAACTTTATGAAGGTAAAAACAACAACAACAAACAAACAAGAAACCTTGCAAGTTCCGAAAACTGAACTCTACATTTTTGGAAAGTATCTTTAAGTTCCAGGACAGTATCTGGTATGTTTTGGGAAAATTACCAGTAAAATTAAGGAAAGTTTAGAAACATACTAAGTTAGTTCTGAAAGTTCACAGCAAGTTATAGAAAATTAACTTTTAAATCCTATTAAAGTTCATTGTAGTTTTAAAACAGTAAGTGTTAAGTTCTGGTAGAATAATTTATAAAGCTGAGAAAAGTTCCAGGAAAGTACTTGCTACGTTTTAGTAAAGTACCTGGTAAGTTCTTTAAAGTACCTTTTAAGAAATGGAAAAAAGCCTTTAATTTCTGAAAAGTGCACGCAACTGAAAATTTCAAATGACTGTGAACACAGAATTCCCCCCCTCCCCCCAAAGAACAATGGACACATTTAGATCGATGATACAATCCAAACACAATGTTCACCTCTTGCTGTTTCCACTGAAAATGTTAGCAGAGAAGCCATCTTCCCTGTAGGGTTTGCATGAGGAAGCGCAGCTTGTCACAGAGTTCCCTGAATCCGAGCCGTTGTCTCTGTCAGCATAGCGTTGCTTCTCCGGAGGCGAGGTAAGACGTTGACAGCAGGTCCTCTGGTTTTCAGCGACACTTGCTCGAGAAACACCGGTTTTGCTCGATGGAGGTGAGGATGTGTCGTTACCAGAGTCGTAGTCACGTGTACCTTTGGCGTGACTCGAAAAATCCTGAGCTCCTTTCCCATTTAAAAGCTCGCTTCCAGGCTTCAACGACAAAATCTGCGAACAGACAAAGAGGCAACAGCTTAAACCCCAATTTGCATGGAACAGAACCTGCTACCTGCTTTGATTTACTCTGAATACACTAGTGCAAAGACACATATTCCATTGAAAGCACAGTAGAGATTTATGTTTTTCTTGGGACAAAAAGCTTTGAAATAGAAAGACATCATGCAAATTTCAAGCATGCGATTAACCTCGAAAGAAAGTTTGAACTCAACTAAAGTCGAAGAAATCAACAAGAAAACTGTTTTGTAAAAAGAGCTGCACTAAAACAAATATATGGAAGGGAAAAGAAAAGAGCAGAGAAGAACAAACGAATCTATGTGTGAAAAGAACTACCAGCTCTAACTCCAGTGAAGAGGAAAACAGAGTAAACAATAACCCCATTGAAAAGCCTAATTTAAAAAACATTGAACAAACATCACAAAAATGGGTTTTATATAGAAAAGAAAAGGATTGCAGACTAAGAAAGATCCCATCAGTCTAACTAAGAAAGCCCTCAGAATAGGACAGATGATTGCTTTTCTCTCTCCTGTAAGAATACATTTTTAGCCTTCAGCGACCTACAAGTAAATCCCTGAATCTGCAGATAGCAGCGACTTACCAATCAAGATTTCCTCCTTAAGTAGGTAAGGTGTAAAAAAAAAAGGGAAGAGCGGGCAACGTAAGTGCATCATTAGAGTCGTAAATTGCATAAAAAAAGACAATAACCCTCTCTTCAAACTCAGAGCCAGTCAGATTTGTGTTTTTACATCGTTTTGTTGTTTTCCGGGGTGGATATGCAGCGCCCTCCACACTTGTTGGCACGCCTCGTGAATGCATGTAAAAACCCTTCAATTACGTCACTTTCTCTTCTAGTAGCATCATCTCAGATTGAATAATTTAGAAAAACAACCTTTAATTTCAGAATGTTTAACACGCAGTACAAAACAAAACAAAAAAAGGAAAAACATTTTCAGTTTATTGGTAAAAGTCATCAGATTTTAATTTCAAATGTCCATGAAACCATGTTTTCAAAACGGTTTCCAGAGTTTTTAAAAAAAAGTTCACCAGTGTGACATCATTTCCGTTTTTGGAGTGTTTTAGTCTTATTTAAACAACAAATGATCCTCCAAATAATCTACTTTTCTCTGTTATTGTTTGACTACTGCAAAGATTCTTGTCACTATTTCCTGATTAATACACATCTGCCTTACTGGAATGGTTCGTTCTTTTATCTTTCCTATTTTGAAGAGTGACCAATGGAAGGAACTCTTGGACTTCTTTGTCACAGGAAGCAGGAAGTTAATAGAACAATTGTGTTTTACTGACACTCCAGTTGGCGTTCAAAAAGAAAATTTATGTTTATTTCAAAAACAACATATTTTTTTAAAAAATATATAGCTTTCCCCCGCCCCATTGTTGATTGGTTCAAAGGTTGTATTTTTCTAAAGTGTTCAGACTGACATTATATCTCTGCCATAAAAAAGTTGAATTAATTTAAGGCTATTTACACATTCAGTGCCTGTTACAGCTGCTAGCTTTATTTTTTTTTCCTGTATTGCAAAATAACAACAGATGCAAAAAGAAGGTGCAAAAAAAAAAAACGTTTATTGGGCCCTATCCTCCAGAAGGTTTTTGCAGTCATCAGTCAACACAGCATCCACAAGGGACACATAAACAAATCTTCTACCATCCTCTTTAAGAGTTTCACACAATCTGTTCACACTTGGGGCTAAAAGGTTTCACACATTTTAAACATAGACACTCTTCTATCAACACAGATGCCTTCAAGAAAATATTGAGTCTTTTAAAAATCCCTGAGCTGTTTTATTGTCTCAGATAAATGCCAATTTTTTAAAATAAATTTAAATTGATAGAGTGTATAAAGAAATGCATCTATCTAATTAAACATGTTTTTTTTATCTACTTATAGATCGTTTATAAATAGATACAATCACTATGGTGTATTCTTGTACACATCAGTTTGTAAAGTTCCCTTAAAGACTACAAAATAAATGTTGGCATGATTGGATAAATGAATTAATTTGCTGAATTTCAATTAAAACCGTTTGGTGTGTAATTAAAACATCCATATTTTCAATTAGCATAATTTAATGATTACTGGGGAGAAATTAAAGATGTTTCATGCTCCACCAAGCAGGAGACAATTGGTTTAAGGACATAGCTGTGTTTATAAAGAACACGGAGAAAATTCAACATTACGCAGCAGAACAGTTTTCAGCTGTTCACTGTGAGTTTTAGTTAAGGATGGACTAAAGATGGTCTAAACTCGTAATATTTTTATAATTTTAATCAGAACTACAAAAATACTGTTGGAGAACAACAAATGTAAGGTTTAAGAAAAAAGTAAAAAACACTTTATTTAGCTGTTAAATCCCCAAAGTTAGATAACTGTGGCCTGATTAACAAAATGAAAGAAACTATCATAACTGCAGTAGTAAATCCTTTTATTACTGAAGTTTGCATTAGATTTTATGGAAGCAGAAGCCATATTGGATTTTGAAGAGGCGATTGGTGACAAACCTTTGACTTTCTACATCATAAATCTGGATTCAGGAGGAGTTCTAGATGATTGTTCGAAATTTATTCATTTCCAACTTTTACATACAAAACATAACAACATCTGTACATTAGACTGGTAAGCTTTACACTTGAAGAGACAGGAGGTAATGGGGTTGCTATTTCCCTAGCAAATCTTCAGTAAACATCATAGGAAGGCAAGTTTGTGGGGAAAACAAAACACTGTTTTTATACAGTTTTTACTATCGAGGGTGTTGGAGGGCGAGTTTCTTAAGAATCAGCTCATCCTCCATCCATGGTTTGACTTTGAATACTGAGGAGGAAAGTAGTGCAGACAGCTCCAATGCAAAAAAAAAAAAAAAAAAGGATGAGGGGAAATTAAATGATTGCCTGGTTTTGAAGAATACAGAAAATTGAAATAACTAGCACTCTAAAAACATTTAAAGGTTTTAACTATTGTCAGGAACGCTAAGAAAAGAATGTGTTCCTGACAACGACTGGCAGCCAAAACGTGTTCCTTTTTTACCCACATTAAAACCTTTAGAATGCTGGTTATTTCCTTCTTCTTTCATTTTTTGGCACTGAATCTTTGCAGTTGGTGAAAAAAATAAAGTATTTGATAATAAAACAACCTGGGTTTGAATTGAAATGTTGAAAAACATGTACGGTTTCAGTATTGTCAGAGGTGTTTCAAACTGGACCACTAAACTTTTTACCAAAACCCAAATAATTGTGAAAATGTTTAATCTCTTACTAAAACTTTTTCTCATTATGCCAGGTTGGAGCAAGGACTAGCAATTGCCTTTTTCCCCAGTAAAGGGAAAATCCCACAACGCCTCACTGTTTAGAGGCTCTGTCTTCTACTAGACTAAAAATAAATGAATAAAATGACCTGGACTGAACCTGCTGCAGCACATACTTTGTTTGCAAACTATAATAACCATCAGATAAAAACCTATACTCATGAAATCAAAGATTTTAGTCACTTTGTTCAAACAATATCTGTAGTTGGTGACACTGTAAAAGAAAAACAAATGGCCAATATGTTTCTGCCTTCTAGTGTTTAAATTTGTCACATATTTCTTGTTTTGGTAATTTGACTATCATATATCACAGGTATATAAACATCTTTAGATTTATGCATTTCTGCATGGTTTGTTTGCATGTTTATTGTTTAGTTCTGCTAAATCTTTACGCGCTAACAAGCGGCTGTGAAATCCAGTCCTGATGACTTTAAATGCTGCTGGAACATTGTGATTTAGCGCAGCAGTAAACATAAAACACATCATTACTATCTTCCGCTCCACTTTGGCTTCACATCTGTGTTGAAAAGCTTTTCTATAAAATGGTAAACAGCTTTTACATGTGATGTTTACATACAAAACATAACATCTGTACATTAGACTGGTAAGCTTTACACTTGAAGGGACAGGAGGTAATGGAGTTGCGATTTCCCTTGGTTGCAATTCACACCTGAAACAGCTTTGTGTAATTGCACCATAAATATAGAAATCTAAAGCAACTTCAACGTAGTGGATTCCTTTTGAGATATGCATTTGAACACGGCTTAGAAAAGAAAAAAAAACATAAACAGTTTGACACGTCCAGACCAGAGGAACTAATGTGAACCTGCGGCAGCATTGAAAAACTTGGAAACTGTACTTACGGTGCCCGCTGAGAGGATGGAGCGATATTTAGGAGCCGTTTTACACACAGATTTAGATGCATGTCTCCACTTTGCTTCGGTGGGGTTCAGCGCTGCTCGGGTTTCCTCTCCTGCCCCTCCGGTGGCTCTGGAAGCCTGATGAACCACAGACTTCTGCAGGTGTCTGTGGGGAAATGTTTCGGTTAATTGACTTTACAACACAGCATTATGTTAGATGGCTGCGACTTGTCTCAGCTGACAAGCACATTTGATGTTAATGAAGCAAATATGAAGCTGCAGTAGTTTTCGTGGTAAAACAAAATGTAATTGCTGTTCAATCAGAAAATGAATGAACGCAAAATATTTCCAGCATTAAACAACCAAAAAGGGAGAAGAGTTTCAGTTGTACTTTAAGTACAAGTTGTGAGATTTTATTTAAAAGTGTGAGGTTTGATTGTATTTGTCCCAAAAATTGTTGGTAACCACCGAGCTTTATCGATTTTGTTTTCTAGTTATTTTAGCTCAGACAACAATAAACGTGTTAACCTCATTTAAAATCTAGGTGTGTTTTAATAATAATGAGTTTCTTGTCGTGTTTTAGTTTAGTTGTGATGCCACCTTGTTTCGTTTTTTCTGGTTTGAATGTTAAATCAGTGCTAACTTCACTTGTTGTGTAGCTCATACATAAAAACACACAAAATCTTACCAAGTATTTTTTTAGTGCAGTTTCTAGTGCAAATATCTTAATACACTTGAAATAAAGCAAAACTAACTTATAAGTCACTTTTCGGTAAGACATAGGAGCTTGGTTTAGGTCAATATATTTTCAGCTGGCAGATTATTTCACTTATAAAAGGTAAAAATGTCCAATTATAAGTGAAATATTCTGTCAGTAAAACTAGTATTTTTCATCAATTTTAAGGAGTTAGTTAATTAAAACAAGCTTCTATGTCTTGCTGAATGGCATTTCTTATTTTACATGTTTTATTTTGGGGCTTTTTACTGAACATTTTGTTGCTTAACTTGCAGGATACGTGGCCTGCATCACCTGGCAGTGGAGCTTACAACAGAAATCCGCCCAGTTCTGCAGTAAAGTACGTTAAACCTTATGTTAAATTTTAAATGTTCATGATTGTCTACTGTCATTTGAGAAATAAATACAGAAAATGTGGAACTAAGAGATGAATGCTCCTGATTATCATGCTACTCATTTAAGACACTCTGCCTCACTATTTTGTCTCAAAGTGTTTTATATTTATAAACCTCTAGCCTTCTCTTTTATTAAATACTATGTGAGTCCTGCCGTCTTCCCCGAGGTTTTGTCCTGAACTCATTAGTCAGATTTACTGTTTGAAGTGCACCTGCGGTGGCACTTCTTATTTACAATACAACAATCTGCATCAAACTGAGGCTAAAGTGAAAGAATTACCGCTTTTATCCAGCGATTCCACCAGCAATGTAATCAGAAAAAAAAGCCACACCACAGAACCTCTTACATATCACCAAAACCCCAATATTTCACTCTTTTCCACCCTAACTGAGCGAATTGATCAGAGAAGAAGTGCATTTGTGGCCATTTTCTGTGAGGCCGTGATAAGGGTTGGTTATACTGGAGCAGGAGGAAGTCACCTCTGTCTTATCAGTTTCTGCTGCAGTGAGACCAAGACGCCTCAGGCTGATAAGAAAAAAGTGCTGAGGGAGAAAAGGGGCCCTACCTGTCCCCCGTGAAGGATCTGGAGGAGGAAGCGTACGACTCCGACCTCCTGTAGCGCCGCCTTCGACGCGAGCGAATCCGTGAACTGGTGGAGCGCAGAGGAGAAAGGGAAAAGAGGAGAAACGAGGGCTGAGAGTTGAAACAGAGATGAAACAATTTAGAGAAAGTGGAGTTGTGGGGAGATAGAACGGGGCTGCTGCTGTTAAAATAAGCAGCTTCTTGAATTCAATGACATGAAAACTCCTTGAATCTTTTTCACTATTTATTTTGTTACAACTGCAAACTTTGAAGAAAGAAAACTATATCTAGTTTTTAAATTATGTCATTACAAATAAACATCTGAAAAGTGCGTCATATGTGTATTTAGTATGGAAGAGGGTAAGGACACTGAAAATAAAAAAAACGAAATTCGGACTTTTTTCTCAGGATTTTGAAAATCTAGTGCAATCATTTTCCTCCAGTTGACGGAAAGATGGTTGGAAATCAATACAGGCTGATTGTGAAGGAAGACTTGGCACAATGTGTGGAGGTTCACCTTTCAGCGAAACAATAACCCAAAACATTCAGCCTGAGCAGCATTTGAACAGTTCACTTGAAAGGATAATCATGTTGGAATGTTTAGTGGGAATTCAGACATTAATCCGCTGAGAAAATGGATGTTTACAGATGCTATTTATTCAGTCTCACTCAGTCTGAGCTGATTCACAAAAATGTCGGGGAAAGATTAGATGTGCAAAGCTGGTAAAGAAAAACAGCTCTGTGTTTACACAGGGAGATAAATACAAATACCACATTTTAAGCGTTTTATTTGTAAAAAAAAAAAAAAAACAGTAAAACATTTTCGCTCCATCTTAAAAAAATGCCACCATGATGTTGGTCTGGAGCTGCTATGCCTCTGAGGGTTTTCCACATTGGCTCTTTATAAATCTGGATAAAAATGATAAAGGACCAACTAATGTTTTTAAGAATAAATATAATAAACATGAAGATTTGTCAGAAGGCTTTCACTTTTTACAAGGAATAATTGCATAATTTCAAGCTATTTTTGTCATTGTGTTCAAAACTATGTGATTTTGACAAATTAGCTATTTTCTTTTTACAATGTTTACATGTTTTATCTTATTTTAAAACATAACCAAAGTACAAAAAAAGTACTTCTTTAAAAATAACATATTTTATATAGTAGATATTAGTTTAAAATCACTAGTTGCCTTTTTCACATTTGCAGTTCTAAACAAGTTTTATTTAACTGGACTGGTCATTTGAATTGTAAAGTTTGAAGATCCTTGTTCTATCACCTAAAACGCCAGTAAAATATATTAATGTTTGTGGTTTACCATGAAAAAAAAGTTAATTAATTTATAAGGCACTGCCACAAAACACTTATCTGGTTGAAAGTCAAATTAGGAGAAACTGCAAAATCACAGCATGAAATTGGCTTCAGTTACCCTTTTGATATTTGCTTCACTCTCTTTGTGGCTTCGGTGTTTTTCTCTGTGTGAGGGTTTGTTTTTATCAGCTCAAAGAAAATTTCAAAGCTGCGTGTGAAGGAAGGAAGGAAGGAAGGAAAGACGGAAGGAAGGAAGGAAGGAAGGAAGGAAGGAAGGAAGAAAAGAAAGAAGGAAGGAAGCATACTCCAGATGATTCTGATGCAACAATCACAGACTGACCTTTTCTTGTGCTTGCGTTCATCCTTCCTCTTACGTTTTAAACTTGAAGAGCTGGAGGGATCAAGGAGAGCAGAATAAGCCGGAGGTGTTTAAGACTGACAAAGCCTTCACAGTCAGCCTGCCTTCCGGCTGATACACTAAGAATCAGGCTTTAAGGTGAAAATCCAGTAATCCTCCTGCATGCATGCCATTGTTACACCATATTTAAAACAGCAACGTATTCTAGATGTGTAGAATTTTTTTTACTACTACTGACAATATGAATACTAATGATAATATTAAACATAAAAAAATACCTGTGTTTTGACTTCTTAGAGGTATACCTGGAATGTAGAGAAAGATGATTTGAGTTACTTTTTAAAAAAATAAATCCATACCAACAATACTGTAATAATACAGAGGAAATACCTATGGCGCTTGCTTTTCTTGGAGCTCTTCTTCTTCTTCTTTTTCTTCTTCCTCAGTGGTGACAGACTGTGTGAAGGAGACCTGAAGGGAAATAAATAGTAATAATAATGAAAGATAAACATGAATTATAATACTTCTTAATTAAGTTGAGTTTAATTCAGTTCACATTACGTTGTTTTGAGCGTCAACAAACCATTCAGTTGCATTACAGGTAGATTTGTGTCCATTGGAATCAAGATGAGTTCAATGAAATCATTTTCAAATAGATACGATTTTAACTCAATTTAATCTGATTAAATAAAGGCAAATTGAACAAATTTCAGTACATTATATTATTTTCCAATTCATTAATATTTATTGAAAACAGAGTAGTTCAAGAGTAAATGATCTAATTCTGTTGAATTACATACCGTATTTTCCGCACTATAAGGCACACCTTCAATAAATGGCCTATTTTAAAACTTTTTTCATAAACAAGGCGCTACAGTAGAGGCTGGAGTTGCGTTATGCATCCACTAGATGGAGCTGCACTAAATGGAATGCCAACAAAACGGTCCGACTCCGAGGAGAGCCTTCCGCGACTGGGGCGGGGCGTGGCCGGACGATGGTCACCCTTCTCCGTTTGCGCTCAGCATGTTCGTGGAGAACGTGGTGCTAAATGACCTGCAGACGACCCGATTCTAGACAGTCGTCAGGTAGATAGGTCAGTCAAACTTTATTAACAAACCAGCGTTCTGACAACTATCCCAGCATGCACCGCGCGCTTCTTCTATGGGCGGGCGAAAATAAAGTCGCCCGCCCGTAGTTGCTAGACCTGTTGTGACTCAATATTGGTCCATATATAAGGCGCACCGGATTATAAGGCACACTGTCGGCTTTTGAGGAAATTGAAGGTTTTTAGGTGCGCCTTATAGTGCGGAAAATACGGTAATTCCAAATCCATTGTCCATTGTATGCCGATTAGTTCAAATGAATTCTAGTGCAATCTCATTAAGTTTGATGCAAATCATTGTGGTTAATTAGACAATTAATTTAAAGTTTGTTCATTTAAGTTAAAACCACTTTTATTCAAGTTGAACATTTCTACAGTTTCTTTAAAGGCAGCAAATGAAAATAATTTGAAGTACCTGCAGTTTATTTCATTACAATCTACAAAGATAAAGTCAAAGTGAATCAAATTTTTTATAATTTATTTATTAACTTATTTCTATTCAGTCCAAATAGAGAGTCAACACAGTGCAAGTCACTATTTATACATTAATTTCAATGATTAGTTTCATGCATTACAGTAGAATAGTATTTTTAAAATGCATAAATACCTTCAATTCTTTGGTTTCATGGATTTACTGCATATTCATTGTATTCTGCTGTTTCTAACATTAAAGGACTGCAACACTGAGTGCAGAACTGACAAACTTTTAAAACTCACCTTCTTCTTTTCCTCTTCCTCTCAGACTTTCTCTTCTTCTTCTTCCCTTTGGCCCGAGGGGAGAGGACGCCATTAAAGGAGGGGCTGTGGGGCCGAAACAGAGCAGAGGGGAACAGCTGCAGTCACTCATGAGATGTGATGAACGATGTTCAGCACCAAGAAGCCAACAGAAACCAGTATTGCAGATTAAATTGAAACAAAAATAATTAGAAACCCTCAAAGAAAAAACAGCTATTTATGTATATTAAAGTCACTTCAAACAAGACGTGCAGTCTTTGAACCTCTGGAGTCAGGATCTGTCCAGTTACAACAGGACATTGTTGGATTGTGAAGAAAAAACAAACCCCTGCTCAGCTGGTAACTTTTCTTGTTTCATTTCTGTCAGCTTGTCTACTGCATGATTTTTTTCAAATGTGATGTCCTTGAGGTGCATGATTTACCTACTGAGATCCTAAACACTAGTTCCTAACTGTATTTGGTTTCTGTTTGGTCCAAACTAAGGCTGTAATTCATATCCAGACTGCTTTCTTAAAAAATACGATCATTTCGACTTTTTTCTTCATGAGTGTGCCACTTTTCTAACATTTTCATTGTATAAACAACTCTCTGCATTTAATGTCCACCTCTGCACACTGTCTTCTGCCTGAACACACATTTTCCTTCAAGTCCTTGTTATTCATCTTCCCCACTTTTACTCTTTTTTTTCCCCGACTGAATTTATCATTACACAGAAAAAGAAAACTGTCAAGTTCCTTCTTGTGGTCAGATTGATTAATTTCCAGACGCCCACCTTTTCCCTCTGTCTGAAAGTGAGACATCTGAGAAAGGGGATGAAGGACTTCAAAAAGCACCAAAGGCTTACTGAGCAGTCCTTTCAAGGACAGGAGCAAAGGCAGTTTGTGAGCGAGCCAAAAAGGTGATGTGAACAGAAAGGAGATTACATCACAATGAGGCCTGGGAAATTGTCAAGAAAGCGGGATGATTTTAAAAAGATACAGATTTTATCCTCTGTGTCTGACTGATGAAAACTCAGTGTCTTCTCAACAACATAAACACTCCTAAAATACCCGCTGAACGTCTGATCTCTAATATTTTAACTGTTTTACATGAAGAGAAATAGTTAGTAATTGTAAACACAACAAAGTTTAGGAAAATCCATCTTCAATGGATGAGTGAGGCGGTCCTTTCAAATTTTTTTAAGAGATCCTGAGGGTTAGAGGACCAAAACGTTTGGGAGGAGACCCCTAAAAATCTTCCTCTCCCTTTAGCTCTAGAATCATGTGGGGTTTCCATGACAACACAAGAAGATCCTCAATCCAGATTAAGGAAATTATAAATGCAAAATAACGATAAGATGGTATCTGCACAAAAATGACTTAAAGACAAAATAAACCCCACGTATGCTTCCATGTCACAATCAACCTGTCTGTCTGTGCCATTGACAAGCTGCTGTATTCTGATTACAGCGTATGAAAAACGGCTTTACCATGTGAAATAAACAACAAATGTCTTTATGATAATATTTTCAGGATTTGTCAAAATGTGTTTGACAAATCCTGTCACTGCTCATTCAAGAGTAATGCTGCCTTTTATTTGCAATTTTAAGAGGAAAAATGCCACTTTTTTCTGATTTTAAACAGGAGTGTTGCATACTGTAACATGGTGAACGCTTAATGGAAATATGCAGCCACTAAGCTCTGGAGACTGTGTGCCAGTTTTGCTGGATCCACAAGAGTGTCCTGTAGTAATAAATGGCCCTGCTTGGCGTCGTCGGCAGTTCAGGAGCATTAGGAACTGAAATGCATTAGAGCTGATTAGACTCAGCAAGCCCAAGTACCCTCTCCTGATAATGAGAACGCTTTGTCACTCATTAACACTTTGACCATTCTGGCCTTGTAGCGAGAGAGCATTTGCATTTCTTCTGGCCAGCAGAAATGGTTTCTCTGGATGAGATGGCGGGAGCAAGAGAGCAGTCATTTTCCAGCTACGTAGGAAACGCAACTCAGCGCAATAATTGTGAATAAAAGTTGGGATTTGAGGACATTTAATGAGAGCTTGGATGAATTTACCTAAGGAGTATTTTTATTTTTTCTCCCCAATGTATGGAAATACTTTCTAGGCATGTCTTTATATGTAAGCTACACACTTCCCTTGGGATTCTGTATAAGTTGTGTTTCTGGGTTTCTGTCTAATGAGGTCCACTCAAGGTTTTTGACAAATAAATGGTTTTACTGATCCACCTCATTTTTTTTTGTACAAAAATCACAAATGAGGTTCCTCTAGTGTCTATTCTCTGACCTCTTTTACTCAATATTGAAATGTTCCACAAGATATGATTAAGCAGTCCTTAATGATTATGTCATTTTTAAATATTAAATGATTGATATTTCAATCAGTTACTCAGTACTTGAGTAGGCTTTTTACCAAATACTTTTTTGCCCTTACGCCAATTTGCTATATTCTTTAAAAAGTTGCCAGAAAAAATGGCTTACTGTGGAAACAGAACACAGAAAAACTGGAGTCTGTAGAAAAAACAGGCAACTGCAACTGATCAAAATAATGCTAGCAGAGTTCTGGGCAGCAGGAAATATGATAATCCCAATCCGTAAATTACTACACTGGCTTCTTGTTCGTAAAGTGATTTAATTATAATTCAGGTTTGAAGTGTAAACTCCTCAGGTCACTAGAGATGTGATTGTGAAAAAAAATGAAACAAGGGAATACATCACGTTGTTTCTACTCCACAATACAATTTTCCTTCAAATATGTAACTCCTTAAAAACAGGAGAATAAAGTGTTTAAATATTTTTTGTTGTTTCTTTAGTGTATTTCTGGTCTTTAATGTGATTTTCTTTACCTCAGTTCTTTTCATAAGGCATTCTGAAATGCCGAGCGTACGCTTTTCCTGAAACCTGCCTAATATTTGCTCATTAAAGCTGACATGCTGTCTTTAGAGGAAGCGGAAATCAGTTTAATTTTATAACTAATGTTTGATTTCTCTGCTGAGTTGAGCTGCTGCGATCCAATTAGCAAGATAACAATCTGAAGAGAAAGTGCTTTTCCCAACAGAGGACGTTTCTTTCTGGCAGCACTTTGTTATTGAGACAAAAGGTTTGGAAATTTATGTAGTTAATTAGCCATTTAAAAACATAAATAAATAAAAAAACACAAACACAGTATTAATCATGCAGTATTTGTAAAAGCTTTTGGGAAATGCATGATTCGTCTGCAGTGCTTTCCGGAGGCTGCAGGCAGTGAACCCTCCACTCCACTGACCTTGCAGTCAAAGGCATTGGTGGAAAAAGACAAACTTATGTCTCCTTTTATTTTTTTATAATCCCACAAGAGATGTCTAATGTATGAATATGCACACAGATGTATTTTTTTTACACCCAATTATGAATTAAATCAAGTTTTTCCTTCTGTGGTTTAACCTGTTATTTTTAATGCATCACAGACTAACAGGCTTTGGAAACGGAAAGGCAGGTTGTTGTTGGACAAATTTGCAAATGGCTGTGAAGTGGTGATTTGTGCAGTGCTGGCTGCAGGAATATAAGCATCACATATCGATGTTCAGAGTAGTAGCCATAAAAGGGAATACTGTGACTGTAAGTTTAGAAATAATGATTATTATTTATATGTGTTTGTTTGGGAACTGGCTTCTGAAAACAGATCAGGTAAATGTTCAGTTTATTAACTTTTAACTATTTAAGTTTTTTCTCACTTAACTTTTTTTTTAAGTCTATGTTTCATTGAACAGAAGGTGAGGCAGTTTGAATCCCGAAGTTGTGGATTTATTTTGTTTGGTAAAACAAAGTGTAACCTGAGCTCAACTAGAGTGAAATTACTTTTGAAATGTTTTTCTTTCCTGGAATACACCGAGACAGAAATGAAAATGATTAGATTAGTACATTTAATTGCCAGGATTTTCAAGTGGGATGCATTTATGTTGTGTTATATTTAAAAACTCCACCTAAATTATCATCTTCATCTAATTTTAGATTATTAAAAACATTTCAAATGGAGGAAAAACATTAAATAACTGGTAAGCGCCCAAAGACATCAAGATTTTAAAACGTTACCACGTATAGATTAAGTATTTATTTGTGTTATGATCATTTCTGCTTATAGCTACTGAAAACACAAAAATCAGACAAGATGAAAAGATCCCCATCGTGTCTTATATTCTAATTTGAATGTTTTTAAATTTTAAGATTTACAGCATAGTCCCTGTGAATGTCCTCATGAATGGGGAGAACATTTTTTTCCCAGCTGGAAGAAGTTTGTTTTGGATTTTTCCAGTCTAATTTTCTGTCAATTTGATTATGAGATTGGTTTTTTGGATTTTCCTTATGTTTTTGTCCACCTCAAAAAACACCCACATCACTCCATTTAAGAAATATGAAAAATGTGTTGCTTAACAAAAAAACAAAACAAAAACACAATCATACAATGAGATGAGAAATTAAATGCTTTAATAAAGAGTTCCATTTTATAAAAACCTTTAGCCTGTAAAAAGGTTTTAAAATATAAAGCCTTGAGTTTGAAAATGTTTTAAAAAGTAAAACACCCTTTCAGGTGGAAAAATAACTAATCAGCGGTAACATCTTACAAAAAAACAAACAAAAAAAAGCCTTGACTTTTCACGGATCTGTTCCAGATATCCTGTGTATGAAACATTATGTTTTCTCTTAGTGGTTGAAAGCAGTGAACAGTCGGGTTCCAGGCCACCAGTAATGTCTGGGTTGTTGGTAATGGAGCAGCAGACGGGTGATGGAAGACGGCCTTTAAAACATTTTGTCTCCTCTATTAGTATTTTTTGGACACATAGGGGACCATTGTAAAGATATTACACACCGAGTGATGTGACCCAATTTCCTGCCTTCATACCGGGCACAGTAGTTTGTGACCTGTTAGGAATTTTAAACACACGGCGTCACAGAGGAACAATCTGGTGAAAACCCATTTCACTCTTCGCACCCAGATCTTTTCCCTCACATCCAGCTTTGTAAAATCACAAATGTTTATAAGAGGAGAAAGTGTAATTTTCTTAAAAATAGAAATTTTTCAGAGCTACTTGCACAAAAAGTTGGGTGTATGAGCAATTTCCTGGAAAACTGTTCTAGTTTTAAGTGCTTTTTTTGGTCTGCCATTTGGTATTATTGTCAACCGTGCGTCATAGAAAAGTTAAGGTGAACACAGTCATATTTCTTAACAAAACGGCCTTTTATGGCCACAGAAGCCATTATAATGTGCACCTAACTGGTAAATACCATGCCTTCAATTGAGATGATCTTAGCAGGAGTTAATGGTGGCTTTCTGTGTAAACTGGGTAAGAATTAACCTCCTTATGCAAGATTAGAAGACCGTGATTTAATGGAGGTAGAGGGTGAGGAACAAAATGTAATGTTGCAGGAATTATATGCTGCTGTACTGTGACATGTTGTATGACTTAGACTGGCTTAGGCATATCGTTTCTCCCCAAAATGTTGCTATTTTATAATATAATTTTGATGTGTAGTGTCTGTTTTTATCACAGAAACAGAAAAAGCTTTCCTTTCTCCTGGGTGATAATATAAAATACAAATGCCACTGATGTGTATTTACACACAAGGAATTTGTAACACCCACAACAAATCATTTCTGTAAAACATTTTCTGATTTCACCATGAAATATGAACCATTTCTAGAGATTTAATTAAAATTTCACTTTTAAACCAAATATTTGCCAAATTAAACAGGTGCTTTGAGCTGTTTAGACATAGTGCATTGAATGAAATGAAATAATACTAAACCAATCCTGTAAAGTGACCATTGTTAAATTATAAGCTTCGAAGCATGTGAAAACCTGGTTAAGTCCAGTTATATTTTATGGTTTTGTGGTTTAGGAGGAATTTTATTATTATTATTATTATTATTTTTTTTTTTTTGACAGAAATAATGTTAATTATTTTTCATCTGCAGTCCCCAGGCAAAAAATCAAACAAGATAAAAGAAAAAAAACAAACATATACCCAACAATTCAAATACAATTATACCCCAAAAAACTAGTGAGAGATAAAGTTAGCAAGTGTTAAAGAAAGTTATAAATATGTAAATGTCTTCGATATACAGCAGCGGTATGATTATAAAATAACACCAGAAATACATACTGATAAGTGTTATACACTTTCAAAATGTATTTTCATGCAGTTTAATTAATTATGTCTTGTTTTTTTTTTCTCTGCATATATTCTAAGCAGCGACACCACATTCTGAAGTTGTCATTGTTCACTTTCCTTTTAGTCAAAAGGCAGTTTTGAAGTGTGAAAAGCATACATGAAAACACATCAATCACATTGGTATAAATCACACAGAATCACACAGAGAAAAGTGTTAATTCCCACAGTGTTTCATAGTGGAGGCTTTCCAAGAAGTCAAGACCCACTGGGGCCACTTTTCAGCCAAAATGGATACGCCGCAGAGCTGTTGCATCAGGCAGCCGAAGGTGCCAAGTATAAAAGAAAACAAAAATTAAAAAAAAGGCTTCAAGAAAGAAAAAAAAAGAAAAAATGTTAAAAAGTTGCATTTTTAAGAGGAGCAGAAGCTGGAAAAAGTTTTTCCCTCGTACTTTTGGGGTTTTGCCAAATAACTCTTAGTTATTTAACTGCATACGAGAGAAACTTTATTATCAGACGCCTGCATACCTCTGTGTTTTATTCATTGTAAAATTTTAATACCAACAGTTGCTGCAGGATAAAATTCACTGAGCTTTATGTTACTGATGCAACCTCAAATGTGCTTATATCTCAACGTTCCCCCTGCTGTGCTGCTGCAAAAGCTTTGAAGCTTTTATATTAGTGAAGATTTCCTTTCCTCTGATTAAAAGAAGAAGAAGAAAAAAAAACTAGCATGTGAAGGAGACTTCCAGGTTAAGATTTCCCTAAAAGAAAATCCTAATGATGCACAGTAAAGTTTGACACCAGATTCTTTCTTTTTGTCCTTCAGAGTCGATCTGATAAGACTTTTCTGCTTCAATCCACCAGAATACAGAGATTATTCTGTTTTTTCTCACTTAGAGTCAGGCCCTGAAGGAATTCTGTGGAACTGCGGAAGCGGTTTATCATAAGCACTGTGATCTACAAAAGCTAAGCAGAAAAACAAAAACAAACCCCTACCATTCATCACCAGCTTCACATCACTCTCATCAAAACTCCTACGTCTTTAACATGGATTGATTTCTAAGTCCTCTTATCTTTTTCCCAGTGCATGTTGTTTGAGCTTAGGAAACCCTCCTGATGATTTCTGAAGCATTTCATTTTAGCATCAGTGAGAGCACAGAGACTAACTCACATTCTGGCCCTGCGGTGGCTGTGGTGTTTACGTCCGCTTCCTTTGATGCAGCCGTTCCTGTCTGCGCTGTCCACCCGCATGTCAGCGGCTTTCCGATCGTCTGTCTGAAGCGGCTGGTAGGATGTTGTTGTTTCTGAGCTGCACAGGAAACAGGAAAGAAAAAAAAAGAAAGAAAAGACACATTTAGACAGAAACCGTTTTTTTTTTTTTTAGCGCTTCAGCAAAATGTCAACATTTGTTGTTATTTTTCTTAGTCTCCACAAACCTAAAGCTTACATCAGACAACAGTGGAAAAGAGGATTTAGCATGCCTGGTAAACGTTATTCCCTCCAGTCTACTAGCCATGTGTTTTAGTCCCCACGTTTTCCTCCTTGCAGCTAATCTCCAGGAAAAACTGAGGTCAGTGATTTACAAGTCAAACTGATACGTCAGTTGAAGTGTAGTTATGTACATGCTTCAGCTGCCTTGACATTTAAGTATTTTTGTTTCCAGGTAGAAGTGACTCAAGTTGTAGCAATAGGTAAAATCCTTCACGTCTTTACTATGATTTTTTTTAATCAAATATAGCAAAAAGGTTTCCTTTTGCTAGCAAAGTAAAATAATTAAATATTCCACACCCTGACCCCTTTTTTTGTAGTTTCAGTGGTGTAGCTGAATGTATGATGTAACAGTTGTTAGAAATGCCTCACAACAGGAAGGTTCTGGGTTTGAATCCCAGATAGTTGCTTTTTGCATGGATTTAGCAAATTCTTACTAAATGTATTAAAAACCAAAGTAAGGTAAAACAAATAATTTCCTGATTCTACGTATTACTGCAACAACCCTTCCACAAACAATGTTCATCCACAAATGATTTGATAAATTGAGTTACTTGATGTGGGCCCGCAGTTAAAGCCCTGATAAACATTCTCTGTTTTAGTCGCGAGAGATTTGACGGTAATTACAAATTCTCCTCTTCAGCGAGTGGCTCCAGTCTGATTGTAATGAGAAGATAATCAGAGCAAGAGATTAGTCCATCAGCACCGTCTCCTCCGCTTCCCGCTGCACCGAGCAGGCAGGAGCCGTCGGTTTCTATCTTCCTCGCCTTCATTTTCGGGGGCCTCTCAGAGTCAGAGGAAGTGCCCCCTGACAGGGATCTAATAATGTAAAACGGCAGACTGCGTGCTTCGACATGATCCAGTGTGGGGAAGGTGTTAAGGGAGATAAGACAGCCACCAGAAGGATGATTAGTCTGATCAAGGAGGCTGATGAGGAAGACAACCTTTAAACAAAATGGTGATTGGACAAATTTCTCCTTGTAGGGCCAAATACACGTCTGAAATGAAAAAAAAAAGCGTTTAAGTGGATTACATAAGTATTTAAAGAACTTGAGTATGTGAAGAATAACTTATTGAACATATGCTCAAAAGTACCCTGAAAAAAGGATGGAGCTCCAACTTCAAAAAATGTGTTAATTGGTCAGAAGAAACTTTACAAACTGAATTTATTTACGTTTGTTTAGCATGACAACTTAATAAATTAACTTGAATACACTTAATTTGACTACTTGTGACCAATTAATGGAATATATTTAAGTTAAATCACCTCTTCTCTTTTTTCACTGTATTTTCTGAAAATTGATGTGTAAATTAGTACAACAACCTGAAAAAACAAAAAAGTTTAAGATTAAATGAGTGGAATGGAGTTCTATTTATGTTGTGGGATTGACTGGAAACTTTTTAGCGCAAACAGCTAATTACAAAGAAATAAAATAACCTAATTTTTAAAACCTGCTCATATTCCAGCCAACAAACGGTTTTAAACCCTGTAATTAGCTTGGTAATGGTGGCTAATATTGCAATACATTTTTCAGATAAAATCTGCAGGTACGTTTTTTATCTCATGATCTAAAAAAAATGTTGCATTGAAGATTTTAAAATCCTATTTGCAAACCATTAAACATCCATCCAGCCTTCCAGCCAGCTTGCTTTGTAGCTAGCTTGTTAGCTACAAAGCTAGCTAGCCAGTTAGCTGCTTCTAGGAAATCCCAAGGAATTGAGATTATCAAATTTCTCCAGAAAGATGAATATATACTTATTAGTCCCAAAGGAAAACTAAAAGATGTAACTCCTCAGAGTTTTAAACCAAATTAGTTGCAATAATTGACATTAATGACCTAGCAAGAATTACAAAAATAATCAACTCAAAAAAGTGAAGAAGACATGCTTTAATCTGGCCTCTCCACACTGGCGTAATTTACTGCATCACTCATTAATAAATACTATTATCTACAATCTTTTTTCCTCACATACTCTATTAGCATTTAAATTTGATCAATTTGAGTTTGCATAAAACTGTAATGATAATGTTCTGAATATTCCTGTTCATTTTTCCACAATACTGGCAAAAATGGGACTGTGGAATTAATCGTCTTGGAAACTTTTTTATGTGATTTAGTGAATATCATCCTCTGGACCAGCAGCACACTGTTTTGTTTCACTCCCTTTGAAATCAGATTTTTTTTTTCAGCTCATCCTGATAGGACAAAACAATAAAACCCTTTGTTGAATCTTTTCCGATTTACTGTTAAAAGTGGCGTCACCATTACAAGAGGGAGGTTTAATTGAATGTGGAGCTCTTTGTTTGTTCAGCATGAAGATGTTTAATTATGTTCCCGCCAGTAGAAATAAAAGCTGCTTGCTTCCTGTGAACATCTGGACAATATACACACAATTATCTCGACACAGAAGGAGAAAAGGCAAAACATTTGCTGAGAAAGGTTTGCTTTGTGTAGCTGAATGGAAAGTGACCCAAAGGTTTCTCCTTTCATTCGACTTCTTTCTGCTTTTTTGTTATTTGCGACTAGCTTAGGAGCAGCAGTTGACGACTTCTAAATGAAATCAATTTCAACAACAACAAATGTTTGCCCCTTCAATCTGGCCTTTGATGTTTATAGCCTGAACCTTTCAAGCCATAAACACTTTTTATATCTGTTCAACAAATCCCTTTCTTTCACCTCTCCCTCATTCACGCGCCATATTGTACACATCCACTTCCTCCGGTCTCTGAAGCAGCCAGAGGTATGGGAGGGGTCAATGCGAAGCACGTAGCTGACAAAAAGGCTTTAAACGAATGCAAGTAGGGAGCGGATTAAATGACAGCTCGCTTGATGAGGAAGAATTATGTGGACACTAATCCTGGGAAATCCGGGCAGGGTTTGTTTACCATGAAACAGCTTGAAACAGGTAAAAGTGAGACTGTGGGATCAAGTCAGCCCCAATACGCAGCTGAACTGCAGCTCGACAGAAATGTTTGCATGGAAAAGTGCAGACATGGGAAAACGTTCCACTTTCTGACTTTTTGACCCCTTCCTCTCAGAAGATGAGTCACGCTTTACGAGCACACCTCCTTCTGTGATGAGAAATTCTTTGAAAAAAGAGAAGTGATCATCCTGTCACTTCCTCTTGTTCCAGTCTTTGTCACAAGGGCAGAGTCCACCTCCTCCCAGTGTGGTGCTCCTCTCTGCTTCTTCCCTCACCGCTGACGACAAAAAAACAGATGGCTCGAAATCACGCAGCACACGGGACAGACAGTGGGATTTTTCACCTCGGTGTGCGCTAACGCCTAACTTAGCAAAACGTGCTAACATATCATCACTTTTGCCGAATATATTCATACACTTTCATTTCGCACTAGAACGTGTGATGTTCATGTGGCGCATGAATCAACTTTCAGTTAAACCTAAACTTACCTGTTTTCTTATTTATTTAATAAAACACACTTCAGTGGTTGAAGTTTAAAGATTTTATTATCAGTCCCATATGAATCTACTAAAGCATTAATAAATCACCCCTTTTATTATTCCATGTTACAAAAATAAGAACCTTTTTTCAATTTGTAGGATATCTGTTTTGCTTCAAATGGTTGTTTGTCGTATTCCTTTTGGAAATATTCCCACTCGGCTTTCAGAAATGCACTAATATTGATGCTTTTAAAACAGCTGCTGCTTTTACTAAAATATCTGAGATACAGATTCCTTAATATTAAGAAAAATCACACCACTGAACTGTTTTAGAAAATCATTTAAGCAGTGGCATCTCAATTATCAAAACTGCATTCATGTTTTAAATTAAGATATTTGAGTTACTAAATGTTTTCTATATGGTTGTGATATTGTCTCTTTAATTGCAACTAGTAAAATTACTAAGCATTTCTTATAATTTGCTGTAAATGATGTGTGTGTTCCTTTAATGAGTGTATCAACTGTTTTTCTTTACACCTTTAAGTTGACGATAAAAATTAACTCTTTTGGCTAAATCTGGTATCATGTTGATTGATATTCCTGATTAAATAAATTTAAATTCATTTCATTGTAATCTATGTGAGTTTGAACTTAGGAAAGTTTGGAATTTTCGAATCTCAGAGAAAATTTTGATGCGGTAGAATCTAATTTGTTTTGCAAATACATAGGAAACTACTCCAGACATTTTTTTTTTCATAGCAGCAAACATGAGAACAGAATAAAGATATAAAAAGATACAACTGATTAGCAAGATTAATTCATTCTTTAGTGATTGTCATACAGGTAAAATCATTTTTTTTGGTGATGTTTCTATAAGATTGATGAAAAAAAAAATACTAACAAAAAGCTGATGAAGAGTATCTGAAGCTTGGATTCACTGCAGGAACCAGCATCCAGAAATCCATTCAAGTTTGTGTCTCCGTTATCCTGGTTGCCATGGCATCCACACAGGTGCTCCATTCCCCTGATTGAGGAAGTCAAGACTCCTCATGCCCATGAGAGCAAGTGAATAACAAACTGTGGCAAACAAGTCAGGAAACGCACCAGAAAGGATCGATACAACCAACGGTGAAGCGACAGCACAAAAAGAACATCTGGCTCTGGATGAATCAGGTTCCACACGGCGGAAAATTTAGAATCTGAACTGAATCCTGCCATCTATTTATTTATTTTTTTTTAGCTAAATTTCCAAATATATGCAGGTTATAAACCCATTTAAACTTGATGACTAGTTCATCCAATAAACACAAAACAAATGTTGACTCTTTTTACTCAAACATTGCTAAATGCAGTGGAGCGTTCCTCAGTCTAACAAGCTAATTATTTAAAAAAAAGGTTGCCAAGTTGTCTGAATAAA